TATGGCTTTACATCGCATATAAACGGAATCACATCATATGGGGTCTCTTGCATCTGGGTCCTTTGACTGAGCATAATATCTTCAAGGTTCACCCGTGTTGTGGTAGCATGGATCAGTATTTCATTCTTTCTTATGGCTGAGTAACATACCACTGTATGGTGTACCACATTTTGTTTATCCACTCAACAGTGGATGGACACTTGGGTTGATTCTACTGTGTCAGCTTCCTAAGGCTGCGGTAAAAATGTGCCAGGAAGTCCAATCTTAAAATAACAGGAGGTTACTGTCCCATGGTTCAGAAATCTGGAAGTTCAAACCAACCTGTTGGCTAGGCTATGCTTTCTCTGAAGTCTTGGGGAGACATGTCTCTCCCAGCTTCCAGGGACCCCAAATGCTCCATGGCTTGTAGCTGCATTTTCACCAGACAACCTGTGCCCTCTCTCTCTCTCTCTCTCTCTCTCTCTCTCTCTCTCTCTCTCTCTCTGTGCTATTTTCCTCTCTTATAAGGACAGTACTCAGACTGGATTATAACTTGTCCTGCTCCAGTGTGACATCATGTTGACTTAACCGTGAATGTCTTCAAAGACCCTATTTCCACACAAGGTCCAGGGGTTAGAACTTCAACTTATCTTTTTGAGGAACACAACTGAACCCAATTACACGTGATATTGCTGTGAACATTTCCGTACAGGATTTCATGTGGACACGTGCCAGGTTCTCTTGACTACTCTCCTAGGAGGAGAATTGCTGACCACACTGTTTTCCTAGTTCTAGTTCTCTTCTCAACACCCCTTTAGAGATTACCTTGCATGTGTACATGTGAACATATGTTTCTCATGTGACTCTCGCAAAATCCTATGTAATTGTGAGATAGTTATTATCATCATTATTTAAAGATGAAACTCAAGGCCATTGGGTCGTTGCCAACTTATAGTGACCTTATAGAATAGGGCAGAGCTGCCCCAGTAAGTTTCCAGGACTGTAACTCTTTATGGAAGTAGAAAGTCCAGTTTTTCTCCCATGGAGCGGCTGGTGGTTTCAAACTGCTGACCTTATAGTTAACAGCCCAGCATGTAACCCCTATGCCACCTGTGCTCCTCCTCCATTACTGAACAGATAACCAAATGGATAGCTAGCTGTAGGTGAGGACATGATTTCCTGAGGGGCAAAGTGATAGTAAGTGAGGAAGCTGGTATTTGTGCGCATGTATTTGGACTCTGAATTTAATCTTTC